CATTTTTGTTTTACAAAGTGGCTTCCAAGAGAATTGATGGTGTATTTCAATGTGGATGAGCGTAAGGTGCAGGTAACATGAGATGAGCGTGGATCAAAGCTTCGAGGCTTGTGTATGATGTTACAATAAAATATTGAGGGGATTAAAGGGGTGTACACAGTAAAAATATAGTAGTTCACCAGCTCGAGAGCTTGGCTAATCCACTCTTCAATGGAGATTCTTGCTCCTTCCTTCACTATTTACTATACCAAAAGGTTTACAAACTATAAGATGTGATACTAGGGTCCTGCCCCTCTGTTGGGGGCGTTACATAGTATTTTTAGGGCTTTTCCTAATTCTGCGCGATCCGCCCCGAGATCTTCGCCATTTATCCAAGGAATCTTCCTTGATCTTAGGAGGAGATCTTTCCTGGATGAGAGTTTTATGCTTTGATTATGACTCTTTGTTGCCTCTAGGGTTTTTGTTGACAAATAGCTATCTCTTTATTACTTCCACTACTGCTTCAATTGGGCTGGACTTTACTCTGGTTTTATGAGCTCTGTGCGTCTAACCTCCGCTCCCGAGCTCATACTTGAGAATTGTTCTAAGTATCATTAGTTGCCCCCCAACTCTTGGTCAAGCTGGCTTGGGCGAGGGCTGAGCTTAAGATGTAGTATAATGGTTTTCCAATCAGCGACTTCAAAGTTTGCACGGGAATTTTTTTTTTTTTTCACATTTAGGTGCTTCTGCCCTAAACCTACTTGAATTGATAAGGGTGGAACAAATGACCCAAGCTGAGCCCATGTCTTTTCCTGATCTCATGACGCCAAATAATCTGCTCTTGTTTAGCGTCACTGCAGCTAAACGGGACTTTCCCTTTTTTCTTGAATCTGATCTCTCTTCTACGGGTCTGATAAGAGCCTTGATGTTGGGACTCATATCAAGAAACGCAAGAGGGATGGTTCATCCTTTCCTTCATCCAGATCTTTCCTGGGGGAAGTTCTGTTTTCCTCTGCTGGGCAAAATTGATGGATCTACTATCAGCGACTGAGAAGGAGAAGGATGAGTTGAAGGAGGAAAACCTACGTTTGAAATAGAGGATAGCCGAACTGCAGAGACGACTAGGAATTTTGCTTTTATTGGTTTTTTTGTAATCTTTGATGTTCTTGAAACCTTGATTTTTCCTTTCCATGTTTGCCGCTTCTTATACACAATTTGTGGCTTTGAGAATCTGGCAGCTGATCTTCCATGTCGTTTCCTGGCTTATGGACCAAAGACCCCCATTTTTGCTTTTTGTAATGGATAGAAGCTGTGAAGCTTTCTCTCTAGTTTACGTGTTGTAGGTCTTACTTTTTGTTCTTCTGAACTGGGAAGCGCATTCTGAGATGCTGCATTTGCTTTAGGAACAGAAGAACTCGTCCTGAGCTACTGAGCTATTTTTATGGACTGATAAGTTCAACGTGAGCTCCAGGGCTCTTTTATGAACTAATGAGTTCATCGTGAGTTCTAAGGCTCCTTTTATGAACTAATGAGTTCATTGTGAGCTCCCGAGCTCTTTTTATGAACTAACGAGTTCGTCATGAGCTCCCGAACTCTTTTTATGAACTAACAAGTTCCTCGTAAACTCCAAGGCTCTTTTTATGAACTCGTCGTGAGCTCCCGAGCTCTTTTTATGAACTAACAAGTTCGTCGTGAGCTCTAGGGCTCTTTTTATGAACTAACGAGTTCATCGTGAGCTCCCGAGCTCTTTTTATGAACTAACGAGTTCATCGTGAGCTCCCGAACTCTTTTTATGAACTAACGAGTTCTTCGTGAGCTCTCGGGCTCTTTTATGAATTAATGAGTTCGTCATGAGCTCTAAGGCTCTTATTACGGACTAAAGAGTTCGTCGTGAGCTCCCGGACTCTTTTTATGAACTAACGAGTTCATCGTGAGTTCTAGGGCTCTTTTTATGAACTAATGAGTTTGTCGTGGTTCCTGAGCTCTTTTTATGAACTAACGAGTTCTTCATGAGCTCCTAAGCTCATTTTATGAACTAACGAGTTCATCGTGAGCTCCTGAGCTCTTTTTATGAACTAACGAGTTCGTCATGAGCTTTTGGGCTCTTTTTATAAATTAATGAGTTCATCGTGAGCTCTAGAACTCTTATTACGGTCTAATGAGTTCGTCGTGAGCTCTAAGGCTCTTATTACGGACTAACGAGTTCGTCGTGAGCTCCCGGGCTCTTTTTATGAACTAAAAAGTTCATCGTGAGCTCTCAAACTCTTTTTATGAACTAACGAGTTCGTCGTGAGCTCCCGGAATATTTTTATGAACTAACGAGTTTGTCGTGAACTCCAAGGCTCTTTTTATAAACTAACGAATTCATCGTGAGCTCCCGTGCTCTTTTTATGAACTAACAAGTTCGTCGTGAGCTCCCGAGCTCTTTTTATGAACTAACGAGTTCATCGTGAGCTCTCAAACTCTTTTTATGAACTAATGAGTTCGTCGTGAGCTCCCGGGCTCTTCATAAGAGTGAATGAACCACAGACTTGCTGCTTTATTAATAATCATATTACAAGACAAACTTACTGAAAAAAATTTCTTAGATGTTCTGCATTCCAGGAGTGGGGTAAAATTTTTGCCGGGTCTGCTTTCATCCGAGGTGGCCACCTCAGGAATTTTTTGTTTTGTACCTCATACAAGATTTGCGATATTGTTGCGGTGAGTGGAGGGACCTGCCGAGGTGTTTACCTCGACTGCAACTCTAGATGAGGTGGTCCCAAGCGATCTCTGACATCTCCCTTTCTTTTGGGGGATCGATCTCTGTCTCTCCTTGGGGACCTATCTCCTCCTCTTTCTCTTCTGGCACTTCGTTCCCTCTTTTTCTCTTCTTTCCCTTTGTCTTTTTGCATGGATGAGCTCCCCACTTTTGAGAGGAGAGCTTCTTCGTTGTTTATGTACTTTTCTGCCTTGGCCAGTACTTCGGCCATGCTGGCCTGGGGATTTTTTGAAATAGAGAACATCAAGTCTTTAGATTGTACGCCTAAACCAGCTATGAATGCAGTAATGGCAAATTTCTCGTCTAGGACATCCACTTTTAGTGATTCAGAGTTGAACCCCTGAACATAGGATCTGAGGTTCTCTTGGGGTCCCTGCTTCACATTCAACAGGTGGTAACTCAGATTTCAGTACGTTCGAGCTCCTATAAAGTGAGATATAAAGGATATGGACAGCTCCTTAAAGGAGGAAATTGAGGTAGGGGGAGCCTATTGAACCACGCCAGGGCTGAGCCTTTCATCGTGATGGCAAAGGTTCTCCAGCGCACTGGATCCTAGTATCCATGCAACTCCATCTAGTTCTTGTAAGTGTTGAGGTGATCTATGGGATCCTTTATTCCATCAAAAGTCTCTATCTGCAGTACTCTAAATTTTAAAGGGAGGGAAAAATGCAGCACGCCAGTGGTGAACGGAGATTCAGTCTGTTGTACCAAGGCATCCATCGTAACTGGAGCCTTGCCTCCCACAGCTTCTTTCATGTGGCTGAGCTCTTGCTGGATACCCTGGAAGCGCTGCTCCCAGTACTGTTCTCTCCTTTCTTGTAGATAGGGGAAAAAATATTTCCTCTCGCCCCCGTCATTATGACTTTGTACTTCTTCGTTGTGTCCATTCCTGGGGGGTATGTGAGGTTCTGGTCCTATGGTTTGGCTGTTTTCCCCTTCTTCATTGACTTCCCTGAGAGGGTCGAGGTGCGGTTGCTCCCTAGGTGGTGGATTGTTCTAGCCTTCTTGAGCCTGTCGCACCTCCTGTGGGCGTTGTAAGAGCTTTAAGAGTTCTTCAATTTTGTTTCAGCAAACGTTGATTGACGAGGCGAAGGGCCTCCATCTCGTTATTCATGGGGAGACCCCCACGGGTGGATTAGTCTCTTGGACATTCTCAGGTTGTCTGTTATTAGTAGCTTCTTGTTGATCTTGCACCTGTGGTGGATTTGTCTAACTTGGATTCATGTTTCGCATTGATACCATCAGTCACTGAAAAATCAGTTTGCTTATAATAGGAACAGTCGTTCCCACAGACGGTGCCAAACTGATGGTATATTTCAACGTGGATGAGCTTAAGGTGCAGGTAACGTGAGATGAGCATGGATCAGAGTTTCGAGGCTGGTGTATGATGCTACAATAAAATATTGAGGGGATTAAAAGGATGTACACAGTGAAAATATAATAGTTCACCAGTTCGGGAGTTCGGTTAATCCACTCTTCAATGGAAGTTCTTGCTCCTTCCTTCACTATTTACTATACCAAAAGGTTTACAGACTGTAAGATGTGATACTAGGATCCTGCCCCTCTATTGGGGGGTGTTACATAGTATTTATAGGGTTTTTCCAAATTCCGTGGGATCTGGCCCGAGATCTTTGTCATTTATCCGAGGAATCCTCCTTGATCTTAGGAGGAGATCTTTCCTAGATGAGAGTTTTATGCTTTGATTATGACTTTTTGTTGCCTCTAGGGTTTCTGTTGACAAATAGCTATCTCTTTATTACTTCCGTTGCTGCTTCGATTGGGCTGGGCTTTACTCTGGTTTTATGAGCTCTGTGCGTCTGACCTCCACTCCCGAGCTCATACTTGAGAATTGCTCTAAGTATCATCAAGAATGTAACCCATCGTTGGGGCAATACGTGGGGGCTTCCGATTAGCCACGAGAGCCTTTGCTAAGGCAAATGAAATTCTAGGCAAAAGACTTGGGAATGCTTGGGCATAACATAACAATGTCATGCCAAAGTAAAGGAAAATATCCTAGCAAAGGCAGGGTACCTAGCCCAAGTGCAGCTTCTTGATAACTTGGGTACAATGCTATGCACAATGACGTAAGCCAAGAGGATAAAGATTAGAGTCCAATAAGCTCGATTAGTCACAATACTAATCGAGAAAGAGGGGTTCGAACCCTTCAAAAGGCAGATCTTTTTTGCTAGTGGAGGGAGCAACATTCAAAACTGAAAAACAAGAATGTGTTGAACAAAAGCATAAAGTTTCATTGATTCAGAAAAAAGCTAAGTACAAAGATGAACAAGAGCTCAGGGAGGCAACACTCTCTTCGAAAGGCTTCTCACTTGGGTTAGGGATCGAGAACTTTAGAGGCCTCGAAATCCTCCATAAGAAAAGCAAACTACTCTTGAACACTTGCAACCTCTGCCCAAGCCTCCTTCTCCAAGGTCTCCCATGACTTTCACTTTGACCCGAGTCGCTCATTGTTCTTCGAAAACTCAGTCACCCGGGGTTGATGAAAGAGCGATTCTCCAAAAAGTAGGAAAATTTCAAAGTTTAGACACTCAACTTTCTCTATGGCAACGAGCCGAGAGTAGTTGGCTTCCTTGAGAGCGCTGCCCTTCCTTTTTTTCAATCCCTGACTTCATTGACCCGTTGAAGCCCCAAACAAAGCATGAACAACACCATCACTTAAAAAAAAAAATCATTTTACCAATACCATCATTTGGAGGTCATTTTGGGTAACCTCCTCGTCACCTATACTTTTAGAAAGATTAGTAGAAGTCGAATCCCTAGCCATGATCTCTCAGCCTTTGGCCCTAATCCTCCGTTTGGTACAATGAAAAAGTGGGAAGATGGAAAGTTGAAAGGATGGAAAGTTTGATGGATAAATAAAACATCATGTTTGGTAAGGAAGGAAAGTAAGAAAGATGAAAAAGTAGATGGATTAACTTTCCTTCTAACTCACCAAAATCAATCCCTCCAAAATCGGAAGAAAAATGGATAGAAAGTTAATTATTTATGTTGAGATTTTTCTTATTTGTCTATATATTTTTTTATATATACATTTATTATGTATACATTAATTTCATATAAAAATACAATGGTAAAATATGTATATGTATATATATATTTTAAAAAAAATTAAATTAAAAAAAAAAATATTTTTTCCATCTTAACTAAGATGAAAATTTTCGACTTAACACGATGACACAACTCGAACTCGATACAAAAATAAACAGGTTAACTCACAATTCGACACGACACAATTAGTTAAATGAGTTAAGTTAGGTTTGACTAATATTTGACACAAGCCCGCAATGACTCAACACAAATCTGATACGATACGACTCGATTATCACCCATAATCTTAGTCAACGAAAAAAAAAAATCACTTTTATTTTTTATCCATTCAACCAAACACAAAGGAAGGAAAGTATATCTTTTTTCTACTTTTCATCCTCCCTACCAAACGGAGCATAAGTGTGAAATGCTAGACTAGGGCGTTGATCTCCTCGGGAGACTCGTCATCCTCGGAAGAAGGATCGACATCCTCAACTCCTTTTTTTTGGGATATGCTTCCATCACAACACATGGACATCAGGAGAAGGTGTTTCGCTATTAGGCTGCTCAGCAGATTCCTGAGCCGCTATATTGCTCAGGGAGGAGACAGAGGAGGTTGGGTAGTCTGGACGACAGGTGCATAGATTATAATTTTTTTTTAAGCGTATTACTGTTTGATGTTATTATTTTTTTTGTTGAACGTGTTATTATTTAATATTACTATATATATATATATATATATATATATACTAGTTATTACTTATATCTGAAGACACAGAGTAATAAAAAATTGTAAACAATAAATATATTTGTATTCATATTCAAAATCAAATCATAAATATAAATGAGAGATAAATAAATTTAAACATCGATTGTAGTGGGGGTAAGAGGTAATGGATGGCACTGGTGGTGGCAAGAAGACGGTGATGATCGTGGTTGTGGTGGGTGGTGATGGTGGTGGTGGTGGTGGCGGCTGCGACAAAGGCGGCGACGGTGGGGGGGACGGTGGCGGTGATGGTGGCGATGGTGGTGGTGGTGGTAGTGGTGTGGCGGTTTCAAACACTATTTTTTTTTAAAATACTTATGAGAAATAATTTGTGGAAATACTTTTAAAAAGTCACTCTAAACATGCCCTTAGGGCCCTATTTTTTTTATTAAATTTAGCGTGTTAATATTATCCGTTAGATTAATTTTAAAGTAAAATTTAAAATAATCTGAACCGCGAAAAGTAAAAGTCATTTTGTTTATCTTTTGATATTTGAATTGTAAGCTACTTTATTATATAGATATATTAGTTATTGTCTGTACCTAAAGGCACAGAGTAATAAAAAAATGATAAACAATAAACATATTTATATTCATATCCAAAATCAAATCACAAACATAAAAAAAAGAGATAAATGAATTTAAGTATCAGTTTGTAATTGGGGGTGAAAGGTGATGGGTAGCAGTGGTGGTGGTAGGAGACGGTGATGGTTGTGATGGATGGCAATGACCATGGTGGCGACGAGGACAGCAGCGGTGGTGGGGGCGACGACGGTGAAGGTGGTGGTGGTGGCTGCGACGACGACAGTGGCAGGGGTGGTGGAGTTGATGATGGTGGTGGCGGTGGTGGTGGTGACGGCAACGGGAGTGGTGGTAGCGGCAGTGGTGGTGGTGAGGGTGGTGACGGCGGCGCCAGCGATGGTGGTGATGGCGGGGCGACAGTGGCAGTGATGGTGGTGGTGGTGGCGGTGGCGGTGGCGATAAAGGTAGTAGTGGAGCGGTTTCAAACAATATTTTTATTTTTAAAATATTTATAAGAAATCATTTTCAAATGCACTTTTAAAAAGTCACTCCAAACACACCCTTCGGAGCCTATTTTTCCTATTAAATTTATATATATATGTGAAAAAGAAAAATAATTTTAAAGTTAGCACAATTTTCAAGTTAGAAGTTGTTATATTTAAAAACATTGAAACTAACAATAATAGACAATATTTATGATAAGGGTAATTATGGAATACATTTTAAAAAAAATTGAAATGTTTTAAAATGTATATTTATTAACAACTATTTGATGAAAACAAGGAGTTAATGAAGTATAAATTTGAAGGTAGTACTTAAAGTCAAATAAGTTCTACAAAATGTACTAACAACCAATTATCCCTTTAAGTATGTCACTATATTCCAGCCAGAATTCGAAGACATATGAAGTAGGGACATACTCTTTAAACAGCAGAGGAGCTAAAGTGTAAGGTAGACACTTTTTTCCTACAATTTACTTGCTAAATTTCAGATCCCTTAATTAAATTAAGCATCAAAGTGCCTCTGGCCGGTTAAATTCCGATCTATGACAAATTATTCATCTTGTCGAGGGAATGTGCACCCAACTCGTTTCAATTGATTCAGTTCATTCAATTTCCAAACTAATCACCGTTTATTTCAACTTATTAAGGTACAATTTTTTTTCCCGTACACAAGCAATCTCAATTAATTTTTTGTGCATGCTATTTGATCTTTAAATATTTCCCAACAAAAAATATACATCAGTTATTAGCGTGGGCGCAAATTCCCCGCGTTACGATTCTTGCATCCCATCTTGGATGCTACTTGGAGTACATACAAGCAGAAAGAGATAATGGGTAGATGAAATTGATTTGAAATAGAATTATAACCCACCTGCAATTTAGAGAGTGGATTTAGATGATTGTCAAACTGAGCCATTACTATTCTCAAAAACAATGAAACAAGCATATTGAAGCCAACAAAAACCTTGAATGAAATAAAAACAAATTTGTAATATACAAAAATTGTGTGCTTCTCAGCAATTTAGATTTTAGATCCATCTCCAAAAAAATGGAGAAAAAAAAAGCTTAAGAAATAGCCACCTCTACACTGACTGTAACTGTTATGCTCCAAAATTCTACTTGCATCTTATACCCCTGTATAGGTATCAATATCTCCATAAGCAATTGCTCAATTATTATGACATATCAGAAGTGCTTTTAGCCATCTCTTTGACCATCGTCTTAACAAAGAGCTCCCCTGCCCTGTACGAGGATCGAACCTGGAAAAGTAAATATGTTAAGCAAACTCTTGTAGAGATTCTGCAAGTTAAGATCATAAAGTCGCATGATTCGAAACTTTTCCAAACCAGAAATCAAGAATTTTACCGACATTTTACCTTCCCAAGTCATAACAGCTGACTCAAATCAGTCTAGTTCATAATTATTAGTTCACATTAATGAAGTTTTCAAGAAACTAAAAATGGATTCAAACTAATTCTCCGTAATACATTAATTCTATCAGACTAAATAACTCATCCGATTTGAATGTCTTCCTAGATAATAAAAATCAAAGGATCATCATTTAGACACATTAGGTATAGAAACTTACCAATGGTCCACTGGCTACATAACGGAAACCAATAGACTCCCCATAATCTTTCCAGAAGGCGAATTTTTCAGGGGTAACGTACTCTTTGACAGTCAGGTGTAATGGAGTTGGCTGCACATACCCAAACATAATAAATTAATAGCAACACAGCTGATAGGTTTCCAATGGGCTAAGATACCTCTTAAATGCCTGGGTGCTACACGGACTAGAAAACTTTTTGGACATTGAATCAATATGGGGATTGAGCAAACTAATTGAAGATGACTTCAGATTGTTTTGATCCTACATATGGGCCAAGTTTAAGCTGAATATCAGCCAAAACGACTCAGAGCATCATGAATTTGAATCCTCAAAGACATAAAAGATCAGCCAGACCACATAAAAAGATTTGGATAATCTACACATTTACATAATTATGAGCCCATACCAACTCTTTCCCTACAAACTCCTCAAGTTGCTAGTCGAGATCTCAAGCCCCCCAACAATAGATACAACAGTATTACAAGGCCAGTAGTGGAAAGCAGTTTGCACATTAGCTCACCTGTAAATATTGTCCTAGCGTTAAAATATCAACGTCAATTGTCCTTAAATCAGCCATGGCTTCCTTCAGCTCATCATCACATTCACCAAGTCCAAGCATTATAGAAGTTTTCGTTACCATCCCCTTCTTACTGAGCTTGGCGTGTTTCAGAACTGACAAGCTCTGTTCGTACCTGCATCATCTAACTAAGATGGTTAGCAGCGGCTAACAATAAACACTTGTTTTATGAATAACAAAGTTCTTTCATAGTTTCACAGAAAACTATTTGAATGTTAAATCCATATAGTAAGTGCATATCTCAGACATTATGAATTAAATAGATGGCTAACACAAAACATGTAGGTACTTACAGTTTATTTAAGTCCTAGAAGTTATCATTAGGAGAAGCCCTCATTAACCCTATTTTCCACCAAACAATCAATCTTTTATTGCATAGAAAGTGCTGGGGATGCAATGCTAACCATAATTACAGCTACCTTTAGTCTTCAACACACCTTTTTTGGCAATACATCAACAAGAAGGTTGCTTTACGTGCAAAAAGGAACAATGACCACACCAATGAGAAAAACATAACCTGTACTCAAATTTCATGCACTTCCAAAATAGAGGAAGGCCTTGGACTAAGATACACTAAAATGGGAAGGATTTGGAGTGCTGACTGTTGGCTTGTGTTTTAAATGCATTATTGCATTGACAACAAATTTGGGTTCCACAGAAAGAAACAAATCAAAGTTACTTTGTTGGAATAAGCTATTTTAGTATGCTTTTTCCTATCCCTAAGATTCCAACTTCAGCCATACAATCAACATTATAAAGGACCTAAGTTTCAAACTCACATTCAAAACTAATGTTCTGCCTAGAGCTGTAATGAGTCATTTTGACATAACATGTCAAATTGAAATTAAGGCCCCATTAATGGTAATTCAGAATTCAACAGTGACTTGCTATCACCATACCATAAAGGGAAATTTCTCCTCCCAATTTCTACAAATAATCAAAGCTAAATTTAGGGTACTTCACAATGTATGTAAAATCAACACAGATAATGCCACTATAACATGCCCATCATATGTTATAATCCATCACAAAAAACTTTTGCTGCGTTATTGGAAAAATTGTCTGCACTCTAAACATCATTTTACAATTCAAGGTGTTTAATATCAGTTTATCTCAGAAAAAGAAAAAGGAAAAGAAATACACAACTTGAAACTTGATTGCGGTATATGGACTATCATATGTGCTTTAATTGATTAACCTTTAGTTTGCTATCATTTACTAAACCAAACAACAATTCATTAAATATCGAAACGTTTGCGTTTTGTCTTTCTTCTTTTTTCTTTTCTGTAATTCGTTCCTCATGAAATGTTCCCTTTTTTGTGTGTACCAATCATCTGTAGTCAAATACTACAAACAGACTTCCAATACGCATAGAGCAAGCACCTTTGATCTTGTCGGTGCACAGCACGAAAATAATGAAAGCAGTCCAGTAATTATATATATGTACATATAAATATATATCAAATTAACATTAGAGAATTAATGTGGATGCATGAGCATCCACTAGGACTTGTGAAGATGTCAGTGTCAGCTAGAGGGGGAAAGAGTGAAGGCTTCACCCAATGCATGTTGGTGGGTGGGTCTCCACTTGTGCATGTGAAGTAGAAGACTAGTTACACTTAGAGAAAAAATTAAGGAAAGAAGAAAAGGTCTCTTGAAAGTTTCGGCTAAGGAAGAGAAAGCAAAGGAAAGGAAAAAAAAAACAACTCCTCTCCACAGTTGGGAAAATGTTGGCCAAGACAAGAAGGGAAAAGGGAGAAGCTTAAAGGTGGAGCTTGATGATGACTTAATGGTGGAATATTGGTGGTAGTGCTTGGTGGTGTAGGAGGTGGGTACAAGAGGTAAGTCATGTAACTTACTCTTCTCCTAAATGTATAGATATAATTCTAGTGTATGTATTTTGCGTATTGCATGTAGATTAAGTAAATGTTTTGTATATATTTTGGGTATTGCATGTAGTTTAAGCATGAAGTTTGGTATGAATTTTGGGTAATGCATGTAGGTTAAGTGTGATATTGCTGTATGTAGTACCATGGGTGTTTCATGAAGGATTACCATAATACTTGTGTGGGTGTGTAAGCAAAATTAGTGTTGTTGCATGAAAAATAAAAATAATGGAATTGTTGTGTGTAGGGTGAGTGTTTGGCCAAGAGAGAGAGTAGGTTGGTGGGTAGCTTAAGAATCTTGTGAATTGTACCTTGAACATTTCATAAAATCCATGGGTATAAATTAGTTACAAGGAAGTATTTAATTTTATAGGAAATAGAGTAAATTCAAGTATACTTTTAGTATACTTACAATTTTATGAGAAGGGTTTAAAATAGAGTAAGTGGTTCAAATATAATGTTTTAACCGATTCGAAAAGAATAGCTCAATTGATTCGAGTAGATAATTTTATTCGAATCGAATGGATTATTTAATTCAACTCAATTTGATTATTAAACTTGGTTCGAATAAACTATTTCTACCTTAAGCAATAATAAGTATTAATACTCAAGTGAGATTGTAAATATTGGGTATCCCTGGTCCGGAGGTGAACACCACAAAGAATGTCGTACTTAAAACTCCGATGCAGGGGTCGTCTACAAGGTAGAATTCCACACAAGGTAAGTGCACTACCCTACTCATTTAATTCATAAACATCTAAGTTTATTTATTGTTGAAGTTATGATTTTTGTGGAAATTTTTCAATTGTGCGATAAACTACTGTTGGGTGACGGAAGTTGATTAAACGACAAGGTAAGCCTTTGTGGCTTGCGTTTATTGCATGATGGAACATAAGCATGTGATTCAAGTTGACTGTGTGTGCAGAGAATTTTATTGGAAAATGTGATCTATCTATGAGACGAGACAAAGAAATTAATTATTGGATTCGAATTGTCTACGTGACAAGAAATATTAAGTGATTGTGAGTCATCTAAATGATGAGAGTTAATTGTTGAGACAAGTCGTCTACGTGACCGGAATTAATTAGATGTTTCAAGTCGTCTATGTAACTCCACCAGTTGTATCAACACTGTCTGTCCCAAGACAGGATAAAGGAAAAGGGTTGTGTTAGGTAGCCGACAGTCAAAGTAAAACTTTGTCAGATCCACTATGATGAGTCCAAACACTGATATATGCATTAATGTTAGGTCGTTCCCCATAAGTGACGCGTTGCGCCTGTCTCGAAACATTTTGCAAAATCAATTAGGGGCGTTGCGCCTACCTCGGGGCATTTCGACAAATAAGTTAGGAGTGTCGCATCCGCGCCCGGGTGCGGTGATAAATGGGCAAAGGTTTCCACGCCATGGACAAACGTGGGAGGTAAGGAAGCTAGTTCATGATGATAGACTTAGATTAGCAACATGGAACATAGATACACACCGGCAAAACAATGGAATTAGTAGACACTAGGAGTATGAGAAAAATTAGTATAGCATGCTTACAAGAAACTAAATGGGTAGGTGAGAAGGTAAGGGAGATAGAAAATACAGGATTTAAGATTTACAATACAAAAAAAGATAGACGAAGAAATAGAGTGGGAATAGTGGTAGATAAAGGCCTAAAAGATAGCGTAATAGCAGTTACAAGGAAAGGAGATAAGATCATATTTATCAAACTTGTATTCCGAGATAATAGAATTAATGTGATTAGCGCTTATGCACCTCAAGTAGGGTTAGAAGAACATATTAAAAAGCAATTTTGGGAGCAAATTGATGAATTATTTTAATATATACCTATAGGAGAAAAGATAATCATAGGTGGAGATTTCAACGGACATGTAGAAAAAGATTGGACACAATATGAGAGGAGTCATGGTGGTTATGGATTTGGTGATCGAAATGAAGCTACAGAGAGTATTTTAGAGTTTGCAATGACATATGATCTTTTAGTGGCAAACATCTTGTTTAGAAAACAAGAAGAACATCTAATAACCTTTAAGAGTGGACCAAACAAAAACCAAGTAGACTACTTCTTAAATAGAAGAACGGACCAATTAGCATGTAAAAATTATAAAGTTATCTCAGAAGAAAGCTTAACATCTCAACATAGACTAACAATCCTAGATTTATATATTAAAGGGCAACATAGAGTAAGGAGAAGCATTAGAAAAATAAGAACGAAATGATGGAATCTAAAAGATGAGAAACTAGTACTATTTAGAAATAGAATGCTTAAAGAGGCCGTATGGAACCTAGAGGATGAGACTAACGTTATATGGAGTAGAATAACGGAAGACATTAGAAAAGTTTCGAGAAAGATTCTTGGGGAGTCAAATGGTTGAAGGCTTGTGGGAAAAGAAACTTGGTGTTGAAATGACGACGTACAAGAGGTAGTTAAAGTAAAGAAAGAATCCTTTAAGAGATGGTAAAATGATAGAAATAGAGAGAATTTGCAAAGATATAAATTAACTAACAAGGAGGTTAAAAAGATAGTTAAACACGCCAAGTTAAAAGCCTACGATGAGTTGTATAAAAAATTATATAGGAAAGAAGGAGAAAAAGACATCTACAAACTAGCTAAAATTAGAGAAAGGAAAACAAAAAACTTTAACCAAGTTAAGTGTATCAAGGGCGAAGATTCAAAAGTTTTAGTTAAGATGAAGAAATAAATGATCGGTGGAAAGACTATTTTGAGAAACTATTAAACGAAAATCACTTAGGAAACCTAGAAAAGATAGAAAATGGTAAGATCCATGAAACTTTCTTTCGTAGAATAAAAAATTCAGAGGTAGAGTTTGCATTGAAGAAAATAAAATTAGGCAAGTCTTTTGGACCGAATAAGATTCTAATTGAAGTTTGGAAGTGCTTAGAGAATGAGAAGGTGTCGTGGTTAACAAATTATTCAATAGAATTATTGCTACTAGGAAAATGCCTAATGAATGGAGAAAGATTATTTTAGTACCTATCTATCAAAATAAATGAGATATTCAAAATTGTAATAATTATAGAGGGATAAAATTGATGATTCATACAATGAAATTATGGGAAAGGGCCATTGAACGGCACCTAAAAGTTGAGACTACAGTGTCAAAAAATCAACTTGAGTTTTTGTCGGGTAGATCAACTATGGAGACTATA